GGAAGGAAGGAAGGAAGGAAGGAAGGAAGGAAGGAAGGAAGGAAGGAAGGAAGGAAGGAAGGAAGGAAGGAGATGGCTCCATTGCACATAAATGGTCATACTTTGGCTTTTGTCTTGAGACAATTACAGTATGATCAGATGCTTGGGGCAGACATTAACAACTGTCAGTCTCATGGTTGGATCTCTCTCTGATTGCCTCTGAGCTTTCTGGTGCTACTCCCACTTTCAAGGAGAAGAGACTTATTTGATCTGTTTGCCCCAAGCATCTGATGAACCCAGTTGCATTCAGAGAGTGCTCAGGGAGCTGCCTTAGATCTGATGGGCAGGTTGTCAAAGGGACAAGTTGTCAAAGTTGTCAGGTGTAATAATGACAGTGACCTTGAAACAGATTATTCCAAAGTGGCCTCTCATTGTACTTCGATCTCAGGGGGCTCCTTGGTTTATGAGGAGCTCCAGCTGATGAAATACAAAAGAGGTGCCTACAGTACCATTGAAGAAATGGTGATAAAAATCATGGTGATCATCATGGTGGTAAAAATGGCAAAACTTAATTATTTTTCTATATTGTTGCATTGCTATCAGTCAGCCCTGTTTAGGGTGATTCAGTCTGTTAGGGAGGGAATGGGCAGAAGAATGTCTGAAAGACAACCATGAGGATTATTCTAGGCATCTGATGGATAAAATCGCTCAAATCTGCTTTGAGTTACTCAGGATGGGCAGGCTATTCTGAGTTTGCTGAGTCAGGTCTTGTCCTGTAAGTCTCAAGGAAATAGACAGGGCTCTTGGGGGTGTTAACACAACTACATCTCCTCTAACTGGTCATGGCAACCCAGGACATGATGTGTGGTTGTGTCAAAGCAGTGGTGAATTCATTCTTGAGTGAGGGGATGGTTCCACATACCTTGAAGGTAAGCAAATAAAGGAACTGAACTCAACTGGACTGTTTCACCATTGTTCTTGGGCTGGGCCTGACAGAAACACCTTTTCCAAGTCATTCTCTTGGCCTGTCAGTTGTAAATCCACCTTCGATACTATCTCTATCCTTTCAGGTAAAATTTGTTCTACATCTGTCATTTCTTCAATAACATCTTTTAGACATAGTCTATCCATAGAAGCAGACATCATTATTGACACTGTGGGTACTGATTTCTGACTCCATTCTTCAAAGGTCTCCTTCAGTATTTTCACTGTTATAACATTTTACATTTTAGAGGCTTGCATTTTCCCCCCTACTTAAAATCTTTAGTCCCGTCTTTAAATCATGAAATTACTTCTCTGTTATGTCTTCCAAAAACCAAGAGAAGCTGTTCTTTATAATTAAATCCAAAGTCTTACTGTAAAAGTTTCAATATTCCAAATTTATCTGGACCCTTAGTCTGCTTATAACTTTCTAAGATCAAAATTTTATTTAGCTTTTTGCTGTTTTCAGATTCTTTCTTAAGCTTATAATTAATTTTTCTTTTGTTCAGAGTTGAAGATAAACTCACTCTATGAAGACTTTTCAAACTTGTGGTTCTGAAGGTCTCTAATAGCTTTAAAATGGTTAATCAGCAATTTCCGAAAGTGATCAGAAAGTGAGGTTTACCAACTTAGTGTCTTTTAAAAGGGTCCACCATGGTTGCAAGCAAGATGGCTGATCCTGTCATCTCTCTGCACTCAAACCCACAGAAAACCTCTGTCCTGCAGTCTCCTTGTGAGGAGCAGCCATCCTGAGCACATGTAGGCAATCTCCTGTCCTCTCCTTATCCCAAGAGGTTCCAAGGATCCTGTCTATTCACCGGTTCCTTCATCTTTGCTGCGGTCATCAGCTCCGTTTTCACAGAGCTGTCTTCAGTTTGCTTTACTTCCTCTGGAAGTCTCACCCAGCCAGCTTTCATGCCTAAGGAAGGCCTAGAACTCACAGTCTCCAGTTTTCTATGCCAGCACATTAACCACTTCTGAAGTTGTTTATCCTGTGAGGTTCAGGTGCAGAATTTGCATTTATATTGCCTGAAGCATGGTTTGGTAATTAATAAAGTATTGACTTTCAAAACTCTACTATAGGTAGCCCTCACTTAATGACTGTTTGTTTAACGATGGTCTGGAGTTACGATGGCCTGGGAAAAGTGTTTTATGACCTCCACAGTCACGTGATTGCAATTTGCAATTTTTTTTACAAAGGTCATTAAGCGAATCACATTAAGTGAATTCCAGCAAAAAAGCCCATTGGGGAAGCTGGATTCGCTTAATGACCATGGGGATTTGCTTAATGACCACATGGTTTGCTTAACAACCAGTGATTCGCTTAAAAAAGGTCATGCAATCAGCTCCAATTTGCTTAACGACCAAATCACTTAGCAACCTAGATTCTAGTCCCTATTGTGGTTGGATAGCGAGAACTACCTGTAATCTATCTCCTGCATTATTGTGTTTGCAGAATAACAATACAGGAGTGGTTTGCCATTGCTTTCCTCTGCGGTTGATATTAAAAGTCCTTTTTAGATGGGATGGCTTCCCTCACACCTGCAGAATCCCATCCAACCCTCACACCGATTGAAACATATTCTTAGTTTTCCCACTCTCTTTTCTACCTTATCAGCAAGGGTAAGTCTCCCAGTAATTCGTACTCCCAGCAGAGTCGGTGGAGTACTGTGCTCGACCCTGGGAGGGCCATTAGACATAAGAGGACAAATATTTTTCTGCAGATACAGTATTCTTTGTATAATTTATTGATGAATCATTTAACCATATCAAACAGATACAGTATTCACAAAGGCACAGTACAGACTAAGCCTTGATTTTTTTTTAATAATTCAGGAATTATATTACTATTATGGTAATTTTTCTTCCACTTATACTATGTTCTGCAGTTTTTACAGTACAGAACTGAAGAACGAGGATAATCCTCCCCTCAGTGAAAATTTAAAAGACAATTAGCTCAGCCAACTGACATGCCAAAAAAAAAAAATGATGAAGGCAATGACAAGCCACTTGTCATTATGCCAAGAAAACTACATTGATATGTCCATGTAAGTCATCAGGAATTGATGAATTAAAAGTGAGTTGATATGAGAACTATCCTGAAAGATCAGTAAAGTCAAAATGCTATTCAGAAATCCTGAAAAATCATGAATGCCCTGAGTCTACTATATTGCTATAACTTCATTTTTCTCATTATCAATTGATGAGATTGAAAAATGAACCTAGAAATTGACTTAACACCTTAAGATATCTTGCTCACCTGCCAGGATATATTTTGCTTATTCAAAACCAATCTATCAAACTTTGACTTAGCCCTGACTTTGCAGTATGTACAACCATAGTTATGGTTTGATTTAATTAATTCCTTAATAGTTGCTGCTTTTATAGAAGGGTAGCAGGCTTTACAGGAAAATTAGAATTTATTTTGTTTCTATTCTGTGTATTTGGATTATTTGTATGTAGTTGTCTCCAAAATAGACAACTTGAAAATGAAGGGTAAGGTGATTTGTCTTCATTATCTAAGTATAACATACTTTCTTATGATAGCTAAAATTGGATGATAGATGATGTACGCTTGGAGTACATAGTTTGATTTTTGGGCAAGCCTACTAAACAGGTAGCTGACCTTCTAAGAAGTGATATCTCTAATTGGCCTAATTTGTAAGTGCTATAACCAAACCATAGTAAAGCTGCTCAGGTTTTCTAGATTTATCCATTTTTCCTAGGAAACAGTATTTTCTTTTGACAATTGAGTTCTGTTGCTTCCTAAAAATCAAAGATATATTAAAACATAATATGTGCTTTTCTTGTTCCAGGGAGACAGCGGTGGTCCTCTGATGTGCTACCTTCCAACCACTACAAAGTTTTATCTGATAGGAGTCACGAGCTTTGGCTTTGGTTGTGGTCGCCCAAGATATCCAGGAGTTTATGTTAGGACAATTAATTATTTAAGTTGGATAGATAACCATTTACGGAGTAAAATTGTAACACTGGAACTTCATTACCTTTTGATCTTATTAACTGTGTGGTGGATAGTCTTCCATATTCTGTAAAATGTAAGTTTCTTTTCATTGTATGCAGTGAATTTGTATTGCTCTTTAAACTTATTTGGTTCTTCTTGGGAACAGTATCATTATCAAAATTTGCTTTTTTAAAATATCCATGTAATTTAAATCTGATTTCCATCATATTTACATTCAGATATATTTTATGCCAGTAATTTAAACAAAATTCAATACTATATACATATTTTATGGTCTATAAATGTCATGATAATCATATATTTCAAAGTGCACTAAAATATGAAAATGAAATCAGTTCCTAAATAAATGCATGTATGTATTTATGTATGTCATGAACATTATAGCAATGATTTTCTTTCCAATACATTAGTGAATTTCAAACAAGTCTACCCTAAATTTATATTTCTACATTTTAAGGATTAAGAAATTATGTTTATTAAAAGATACTAGATAATTAAATTTCAAATAAAGCATTTTGAAGTTGTTTATATACTCCATTGTAACATTTATTTCTTTTGATACTCTCTGTTGAGTATTTCTTGGGGAAAAAAATGTGAAGATGTAGAAATTTTTAGACATCATTCTTTCAGAAACATGCATACAATAATTTTAGCTTTGGATTTTAAATATGAAAGTTTGATCAGTAACAACTGCTGTGTCTGCTTATTCCCCAGGATAAACCTTTTGTGTTTCCTTCTAGCAACAGTATAAATGATCTATACATATGCATTAAAATATGAATGTTTTATATACATACATGTATAAAATGGATACAACCTAAAGTCTTAAACATAGTCTTCTTGAGCACAGCAGTTTAATTTTTGGTAAATATGCAAAATAATAAAAAACAACAATCTTGCTGATTGGTGGAATCATCACAGTTCTCCAAATACTTGAGATGGTACTTGGAGATCATGTATCTATGATGATACCAGACTGTATCATCTTCAAAACACGGATACTTCTACAAGATGTTAATGAAACATGTTCTGCTCTTTTTATTTTTGGGACTTTTGTTTGTTTGGTTTTAGTACGTTATTGTAACATTCACGCAGTTACCGCTTGCCTCTCACGAGTGAGGGGAAAGAAGACACCAAACTGATTCTCCTTTGAGGGGGATGAGAG